TATGCATTTTGCTCATGTCTTTCTGCCTCAGTTTTTCGGTTTCTAAAATGGGTTTCAACTATTTGGCTTCTTCACAGAAGTATAGTTAAACTGGAAGAGTACTTTGAAAACACGTTGAAAAGACCTCGGTAAAAGTCACTATGTAATTATGCCTGCCACATATGCCACTGCTGACTTAGAAAGGATGGGGTTTTTTGTTTTTTTCTTTTTTGAGACAGAGTCTTGCTCTACTGCGATCTCGGCTCACTGCAACCTCCGCCTTCTGGGTTCAAACAATTCTCCTGCCTCAGCCTCCCCAGTAGCTGGGACTACAGGTGCACACCACCACGCCCAGCTAATTTTTGTATTTTTAGTAGAGACAGGGTTTCACCATGTTGGTCAGGATGGTCACGAACTCCCGACCTCAGGTGATCCGTCCATCTCAGCTTCCCAAAGTGCTGGGATTATAGGCGTGAGCCACAGCACCTGCCCAGGGATGGGATTTTAAAGTAATCATATAAATAAACTGAAATATCACTCAAATGTCTATTCATTTATAACTTTCCTATAGTTAAGTATTTACTTAAAGAACAAACGAACGCTGTAGAAACTAGAGCAGCGGGCTCAAATGATAATGACCAAGGGAAGCAGGAGGAACCAGGCGTGGTGGAATCCTGGGCAGACCTGTTACCCCACTCTGGCAGCCCAGCCCAGTGTGGGCTCTATAAAATCCCAGTACTGACCAGGGGCAGTGGCTCATGCCTGTAATCCCAGCACTTTGGGAGGCTGAAGCAGGCGGATCACCTGAGTTTGGGAGTTCAAGACCAGCCTAACCAACAAGGAGAAACCCTGTCTCTACTAAAAATACAAAATTAGCCAGGCGTGGTGGTGCATGCCTGTAATCCCAGCCACACCAGAGGCTGAGGCAAGAGAATTGCTTGAACCCAGGAGGCGGAGGCTGCAGTGAGCCAAGATCGTGCCATTGCACTCCAGCCCGGGCAACAAGAGTGAAACTCCGTCCTAAAGGTCAGGCCTTTCCCACCCTCCCTGGGCACTGCCTACCTCAGTCCCTGAAGACCTCCTCACTTCCCTACCCTCAGATGAAGAGACTAGATGTGCACAGACAGGCTTTTAACAGAGGACTGGATAAAACAAACAACAGAGATGTGTGAGACATCCAGTTCACGTCCTCAGTTAGATTTGCACAAGCTCAACACTCTGGGTAATGATATCCATAGATATCGTCACAGGTATGAGATTATAGACCATTCTTATTTTTTAAGGCACAAATTTATCGAGTTATACTTTATACACCACACAATTCACCCATTTAAAGTGTACAATTGGATAGGTTTCCATGTAGTCATAGTGTTGTACAACCATCACAACAATCAATTTTAGGACATTTTCATCATCCCCAAAGAAGCCTCATGATCTTATCAGTCACCTCCCATTCCCAACCTTCCCCAACCACAGCTCTTAGGCAACACTAATTTCCTTTCCGTCCCTATAGATTTGCCATTCTGGACATTTCAACGGAATCATGTAATATACAGTCATTTGTGACTGGCTTATTTCACTTAGCATAATGTTTTCTAGGTTCATCCGTCTCATAGCATATGTCAGAATTTCCTTCCTTTTTACTGATGCATAATATTTTGTTGTTTGAATATATCCTATTTGGTTTTTCCATTCATCAGTTGATAGACATTTGGGTTTGTCTTAGTTTTGTGCTGCTGTAATAGAATATCGCAAACTGGGTAATTTATAAATACTAGAAATTTATTTCTCACAGCTCTGAAGGCTGGGAAGTCCAAGATCAAGACACCAGTATCTGGCATCTGGTGAGGGCTTTTCTGCTGCATCCTTCAGAGGGAAGAAATGCTGTGTCCTTACATGGCAGACGGTGGAATGGCAATAAAAGGAACAAACTCCCTCTGTCAAGCCCCTGTATCAGGACACCTTTGTGAGGGGTGGGCCCATCATGACCTAATCACCTCTTAAAGGCCCCACCTCTTAATGTAATCACATTGGCAACACCTGAACTTTGGAGGGGACGCATTCAAACTAGAGCTGGGCTGTTTCAGTTTTGGGGCTGTTATGTAAACTGCTGCTACAAACACTAGTGTACAAGTTCTTGTGTGGACGAGTTTTCAACTATCTTGGTTACATACCTAAGAGTCAAACTGTCAGGTCACATGGTAACTCTACGTCTAACTTTCTGAAGAAACTCTAGACTGTTCTCCAACTTGGCTGTACCCTTTGCTATTCCCACCAACAGTGTTTGAGGGTTCCAGTCTCTCCACGTCATCACCAACATTAGACACTGTCTGGTTTTTGTTGGCTACAGTGATCTTAGTGGGGGTGATGTATGTGGCCCTGGTTGTTAACAATGTTGGCCATCTTTTCATGTGCTTATTGGCTATTTGTACATTTCTTTGGAGAAATGTCTATTCAAACCCTGTGTCCTTATTTTAATTGGATTATTTGTCTTTCTACTAATGCGTTGTAAGAGTTCCTCACATATTCTACTTAAGATAGTTTTTTTCCAGACATAGGATTTGCCAGTATTTTCTCCTATTTTGTGGGTTGTGTGGTTTTGTTTTGTACTTCAAAGGGTCTCCTTTGAAGCCCTAAATGGACTTGTCTCCGTTTAAGAACCCCACAAAGGGTCTCCTTTGAAGTACAAAGTTTAACATTTTGATGAAGTCCAACAGAGCTGTCTTTTCTTTCGTTGTGTGTGCTTGCGGTGTCAGCCTACTACATCTTACAGCTTCCTCGGTGCTGGGTCTCTGCACATGGCCGAGCTGGGCCCACTGGGCTATTTTCCACTCTGTTTCCACTCTTCAGGTGCGGACCTTTACCTCCCCTCCGGCCTCAACAAGACCTCACCCCCCGCACATCTGGTCAAAACCCCTTTGACCTTATGGTCGGTCCAGTTAGTCTTTTGTCTGTAATGCCCTGGAGCATGAATTCTGACATTAGACTCATCACACACAGGGTGGATGATCTTGCCTGAATAGGGCTCAGTTTCTTCCTCTTTAAAACATTGTGAGAATTATAGAAAATAATTCATGAAAAGTACTGGGCCGGGTGCCTGGTACACTGTAAGTAATAAATGTTCACTGTTCATGTAATGCAGTTTCTGGTTATTTCTTACTTTCGCAAAATGGACTGGTTTCTGTTGCTCCAGGGTTTCTGGTTCCTTGCTCTCCTTTTTTTTTCTGAGACGGAGTTTTGGTCTTGTTGCCCAGGCTGCAGTGCAATGACAAGATCTCGGCTCACCACAACCTGCACCTCCCGGATTCAAGCCATTCTCCTGCCTCAGCCTCCTGAGTCGCTGGAATTACAGGTGCCTGCCACCACACCCAGTTAATTTTTGTATTTTTAGTAGAGCTGGGGTTTTACCATGTTGGTCAGGCTGGTCTCGAACTCCTGACGTCGTGATCCGCCCGCTTCAGCCTCCCAAAGTACTGTGATTATAGGCGTGAACCACCACACCCGGCCTCTCTCCTGTCTTTGGTCAGTAACTCTGGCTCCACTCTATCCTCATTAAGCTCTCAGGATATTCTGCTTCATCCCGTTCTCTGCTTACCTGGTGTAACAACGCCTCCTCCCTGCCTTACAGATCACCCCCCTTGCCACCCTGAGTCCAGCTCTTCATCCAGACTCTCTCCTCCAGCTGTCTGTATTAATCCATCTCACCGTTGCTTAGAAGCAGTCAGAATTTTAGACTCCCTCTTCCCTGACGCTCCCCCTGGCCCAGGTGTGGCCTTTCCCTGGGCCTGGCTGCCTTTTTGACAAGTCCATTGAATGCTTCTTTGTTCACACCTGCCCGCCCCTTCCCCTGCTCTGCGTCTCTGTGTACTGCACTCCTCCCTCTCCCTGCCACTCCCTCGGCCTGCTGACAGTTCTTACCCACACCAAGTGGATGCCCACCTGAGAACCTCTCACTGCAGGCTCCTTCTGTCCGCAGTGTTCTTCCCCAGCTCTCTGCTTGGCTCAGTGCCTCGTCTCCTTCAAGCCTTTGCTCAGATCTCACCTTGGCAATAAAGCCCACCCTGATGATCCAATCTAACACTGTTACTGTCCTGTCCCTCACTGTGGCCATGTCCAATCACCCCTGTCTGCCTTAGGGCTTCTTCCACAGCAATTATCATCTGCTTTCTGCATAATTTGCTTCTTCATTATTTACCATTTAAATATTTTTAAAGACTTTTTATAAGAAGCCAGGCGCGGTAATCCCAGCACTTTGGGAGGCTGACGCTGGCGGATCACCTGAGGTTGGGAGTTTGAGACCAGCCTGACCAACATGGAGAAACCCTGTCTCTACTAAAAATACAAAAAAATTAGGTGGGCGTGGTGATGCATGCCTGTAATCCCAGCTATTTGGGAGGCTGAGACAGGAGAATCGCTTGAACCCAGGAGGCAGAGGTTGCAATGAGCTGAGATTATGCCATTACACTCCAGCCTGGGCAACAAGAGGGAAATTCCATCTCAAAAAAAACAAACAAAAAAAAACAAACCTATAAGAATATAAACTCCCCATGGGCAGGGATCTTTGCCACTTTATTTTCTGACATAGCCCAAGTAAGTAAAGCAATGCCTATGGCGGCTGGGCAAATCTCTGCTGAATGGCTGAATGGTATGACCTGCACTCCTCTGATGGCTAACAAGGGTTAGCCATCATGGGTCCCCTCTTTTGTGGGTTGCCTGTTCATTCATGTGTCACTCTGTCCAAGTTTCCTTTTTTATTGATTTGTAGGAACTCCTTAGATTTTCATAACAGAAATCCTTTGTTAGCATGCCTATTCATTGTATTTATAGCTAGTGCCTGCTGCATGCATGGCGCGCGGTACCACAGAGGATCCAGCCGTTAATATTGAGAGAAGTCACAAACACTCCACCAGCATCTTCAGGTTAGTATCAGTATGCATTGCAGTTTAGAATGGAACAGGGGATTGCCTTTTTAAAAGTTACTTAATTAAGTAATTACAAGGGAAAGAAACTGGTCAACTCACCCTGGCAAGCAGTCCCCACAGATGGCATCACTGGTGACTGAACAATTTGCCTTCTGAAAGCGGTTCACCAGTGCGCAGTCCAGACACGGCTTGCATTTCTGGAAGCCCCAGTCCTCCTTGAACCTGTGCAGCCGGCACGTCACACACTGTGCATCCTCCCCATAGCCGAAGCCACATTCCTGTGGGGATTAACGGGCAATAGAAAGCTATTCAGACTTTGCAAGCGTGAAAAAGGAAAGACCGCTGGGATGAAACGAAGACTTGGTCTAATAATTACCAAGTGCCGGTCTTCCTAGACACAAAGGCAGCTCTTTCAGCAAGTTCAAATGTGTCTTCCACTGCTAATGATCTCTCTTACTACGGTAAGTCCACTTAGTCATCCACTTTATTCAAGAAGCTGCGAGCATGGGAATAATCAAGGGGCTCTCAGGCTCCCACCGCTGAGTTACTACCAGTGGGTGGAAGAATTATGGCACTTTCTTCTCCTCTAATTAATCCAGTCATGTACATGCTCAGAAGCTAAAGCCAGAGAAACATTCCGACACTCACTTCCAGGGCAGAAAATCAGTACTCTGATATCAGGGGTGTTAGTTTAAAAAATGAGGATAAGTTCGTAACAATTTTCATTAGTGGACAAGCCTAGAAACCAGCCCAAATGGAGAGCTTCTTGAAATTGTTAGAAATTTACTATTTCCTGACAGTAGAAAGAGTCTTACACTTTTGCTGAAAGATGTTAACTTCCTATTGAGACAAACGCTGTGGTACTAAAGGTCTCAAGCTTCTCTAGATTTGAACATCAGAACATACTGTTTTCCAAGAATGGGCCAAACAAATGGCTCTTTGACCTACATACAATCATTTCTACAAGTTCAAGAATTCAGTAAACTATAGCATATTGTATAACGTAGCTGTAATGCAACCATAAAAAGAAGAATGTAGATGTGAGATGTGCTCATGACAATTTTTTTACAAATAAATTTTAATACAGAATTAGAAGTATGATTCCATTGTTTACAAAAACATTCATGTAAGTACCAACATTTGGCCAAAAACTTTACACCATTATCTAAATAATCCATATTCCTTCCCAATTTGGGGAGCACTGCCATTTTTTCCATTTCTTAGGTTGGGGGAAGGGAGCTTCAGAGAAGTTATGTATCTTGTGCTAGGTGACAGAAGTAGTGTTAGAACCAGGATTTGAACCTATGTCATCTAATTGCAGAGTCAGATTTCATTACCACTATACCATAGGGCCTGCCAGGTATTTTATATATACATATATGTATTACCCATAGGAAGGTGTCTGAAAGACTATACACTGTTGGTAACGCCTGTTGTTGATCTTTGTGATGGTTTCTACAGAACACTCATCATTAACAAAAAACAGCGGCTTACGAGGAGCAAGAAGGGCACTCACGCAGGCAGCAGGCTGGGCAAGCCCACAGATGCAGACTGGACACCACAGAGGAAGGAGGGGTTGCACAAAATCTCAGTTTCCTCATTTGTAAACCCTGGATGCTAGAATACGAGTCCCACCTGGTTCAACATTCCCGTTTTTCTGTAAAATTTATATATTTTAATTTCTTCGTCCATATTTATATACAAATCAACTAAGCAGTACTTACTGACCAAAAATTAAAAGAAAACCAACTTGAAGGGTAGACCTGCCTGTACTTAATAAATTACTCAACAAAGGATGCAGAGGAATCACTTCCATCTAGATTCTTACTAATTAACTCATTCACATTTTGGGTGAGTGATACTTTCTTTCCTCCTTTGAATTACTCTGCCTGTCTTTCAAACGTACATCAGGAACGCACACAACAAAGAACTAAGGAGGAAAAGGTGGAAGGTCAGCCTCCTCCTCACTCCTGAGAGCTCCAGCCACACAATGTTCTACATCAGAGACACAGAGAGGAGAGGGGGAGAAAAACAACACTTGATTTAAAGAACTGATTAACAAGTTAGAATTTCTTTAAGACTGTTAAAAGGGATAACCTCTTTCAGGGGAGGGGAAGGTTAGAATTATGGGGTGTTTTCAAGTTTTACAATTCTGCAAAACATAATTTAATTTTTGCAGAAAGCATCCATTACTCTTGTAATAGGAAAACAATAAAGATGCATATTCAAGAAGAATTTCTCTGGGCATGTGCTGGGTCTTTGTGAGGTAATCATGTGGCTCTGGCTCTGTGCTGTGACAGCTGTGTTTCTGCTGAGCACTTTGGTTGCTGGGAGAGCTGTGTGCAGGCACAGGCTTTCTGAAGTACAGGAGAGAGCCTCCCACTCTCAAAGTCCGTCGGGATCAAAGCACGGGTACACGTGACTTCTGGGGGTGGTCTCCACATTGTTCCCATGCTAGCCATCTCTGGCAAGAGGAGAGTGTTTCAAAATCTCACTTTGATCTAGGCAGCTTGAGGCTGTAAGAGTCTCATGTACAAGTTAAAACACAACAAAGGAAAGGAAAAGGAGAAGGAGAAGAGAAAACAAAGGGAAAGAGCAAGGAGAATGCAGAGGAAGAGGTGGATCAACTGGGAATAAATGTCCTCTGAAATTCTGTTTCAAGCCAGGTTGATATAGGAAAAAAGTATGTGTTTTCCTACAATGGATCCAAAGACACATGAGTTTCAATGCCAGCTCTGACACTTGTTGGCCAAGATACTTTAGGAATTCTCCGACCCTTATTCTCTTCATCTGAGAGATGAGGATAAGAGTACCTGCCCTAAAGGTTGTGTGAGGAATAAATGAGAAACATATAAAGCTGCTAAACTCTAAATAAAGCACAGAATGCGCATTCTCTAAACAAATTATACCTATAAGTGTTACAATTTCGGATTTTCGATGGCCCAATAAACCAACTTTGCTGATTCAAGTATCATAAATCTTCTCTGGAAATAAAGGTAACATCAGACCCGAATTTCCATCTAAGATATTTTTATTGACTAAAAATCTTTCAAAAAGAAATCATAATTTTCTAAAAAAAAAAAAATGTTTAATGGAACACAAACTCTAATTCAACCCGATCTGAGTCAACTGCTGCACCATGCTGTAAGACAGCCCTGTGTCCCTGCCTGTCAGTCAACTGTCGCTCCCTGCCCTACTGACTGTCTCCAAGTCACCTCCTCCCTACACTGAGAAACTGTATAAGTAACCCACAGGCTTAAACAGTTTGAGTGTCACATCTCTTTTGAAAATGAACATATAGCTTAATGTGGGGAGGTCTTTGTGCTTAGTTTTTGACACAATAATAAACTTAATTGAACATATCCCAAATACTCATGGAAACTTTTATAGAGACTATTTGGGAAATTGTATTTAAAATACATTTTCTCTGAAGTATTTACTGTTTTCAAAAATATAATATTTTTGAAAGCTTAATATTAATTTGAAACTATTAAAAATAGCCTTCAGCTCATAAAAGTCTAAGAAATTGATGAAGTGGCCATTCTACATGCTGAATTAACTGGAAACATGATATAACTAGAAATTCAGAGGTGATTTCAAGGAATCAAATTACAGAATGGTGCCCATGACAGCAACCGCTTTTTGAGTTGACTGTCGTATTTCTAATGCACCTTAAACACAGACTCTGTAAGTACTCGTAATCCAGGCTATAAACTGCACATAAATATTAAATTACCCCCAATATAAATGTCTGCTTTGATGTTTTCATTTCATTCAGTAAAACTGGGTGGTTGAAATGCCTTGAAATCTTCCCCATTAAGCTCAATACATAACTACCAAGAACAAAAGAAAGAGGCAAAACAGCTGAAAGGGAAGCTCAACAGCCTCCAAATGGTGACACTGGTTAGCACAGACTGACACTGCCTTCACAGTCCTGTGTCACTACCCTGGCCTGAGATCTTTGCTTTGCTTTTCTTTTTACCACTTGTATACTAAGAAACTATTACACACACGAGGTTTAAAAAAAAATAAACAGTTCACCTTTCTTCCCATTCCTAGTCTTTAACTTCCCACTCCCCCCACACAGGTTTTGGGGTAACCTGCCAAAAATGTCCTCCTAATGTGTGTGCATGTATTTAATTAACACTGTTCTGCAACTAGACTTCTCATTTTCTCACTCCATGCATCTTGGAGAGTGCTCCATATCAGCAAATAGAGGGTATTCCCTTGCATCGATGGAGCTGGAGCTGTTCTGACCACTGCACCCCAAGTCCTGGCACAGAGAGGGCCTCCATTTTGGTTTGGCCCATTGCATTTGTATTGATCAGATGACCTAACCAGGCAGCAAATAAAAACAATATCAAATCTTTTGTTTTTCCTGCATAACTTTTGGATAGAAAGGAATAATTTCTCTAGGTATATTATTTTCTGCTGCAGGCAGACAAGTAAGCGAATAAATAATGAAATGAGCTAGGTTTGGGTTTAACCTTTTGACAAGGGCTCTCTCTTTGGCCAAACTCTAGATAGGTTCCTATGAGCCACTGTTTGTTGGGGCCTGTTCTCAAGAGCCCAGTTTCCCAAAATCCTGGCTAAATCTGGCCATGCTCAACATCTTCTCAGGTTCCTCAACCCTCACCATCCCCCAGGTGACGTCTGGTCACCTTGGCCTGTCTTCGGCAAGAATCCTGTGAGATCAGTTTAGCCAGAATGTCCCTCACCCCTGACGGTTCCTCTCCGTGATTTTTCATCCCCCAAACCCACCCTGCTCCTTGGCTATCAATCCCCACTTGTCAATGCTGTATTTGAAGTGGAACCCAGTTCCACACCGAGCCTTCATTTCCTCTACTGCAATAGTCCTGAATAAAATCTGCTGTTCCATTGTCCAGCTCTGGGTTTTCTTTGAATCTTTCCAAGTTGCACTAGGGTTGTCCCTCCCATCATGGCAAGAGATGGTTATGGCAAAAGGAGGACTGTGTGTGTGTGTGTGTGTGCGCGCGCGCGCGTGTGTGTGTGCGCGTGTGTGTGTCTGGTGAAGGGAGGGCAAAGAGAGTACAGGCAGAGTATGTCCATCATTAACCTGGGCTTCAGCATGAGGGACATGGGATTATGTTTATGGAGCATGGTCCACCGTTAACATTAATGGTAGAAATGCCTTTCTGCTTTAAAATACTCGATAGCCTGTATTCTTGAAATTATGACCTGGCATGTTAAAAGCTTGAAGGAAGTACCTAGTACATCCCCAAATCCCTGAGAAGATATGTTTATCAATAAACTTTAA